GCCGTCACTGTCTTTGTCTCTTCAGGGTCACCTTTTTGCATTTTCACTCCTCCAATATCTATGTAACTGATTCCTTAGAGTAATTTCTCCTTGTTAAGGTACCAGGCAGAGGATCTGTTTCCTGGTTGGCCTGGGCTGGTGCCTGGGTGGTTTCCCCGTCTCAGACTTGCTGGCAATTGCCCCTCTTATTGAGGAGCCCCTGCTGGGCCCATCCAAGGCCAGATGTCCACAAGGGGAAAAGGTCAACCAGAAGTCAGAAATGGTAATTGTCAAGCTCAAAGATGCATTTTTCTCACAAGTTTGCACGACCTGCCTACTCCCAGTCTACACTGTGCCACATCTTTTCCAAGGTTAGCAGAATTATAAAAACATTGATTTGGCCATTATTGACTTTTCTACTGGGATACTAAAAATGTCTTTTAGCAGCCCCAATAAATTAAATCCAGCTGCCACACTCCCAGACGGGCCGGCTCCTGCATCACTGACGGCGAGGACAGGGGAAGGCAGTTCCCCAGCTTTGCTGTAAGTGATGTGCACTGTGTTCCCCAGCATTAGCAGGTAGAGAATTTGAAGTGTGGGGAGAGAGCAGAGCTGCCTCTTTTAAAAATGCATAAGCACTTTGTGAGTTTGCAAAGTCATGTTTCGCTCAGCTCGGTTTGAATTTTTCATAGGAGAGAAATATTCTGTAGCCTTTCTTCTTTTATTTTTCCTTTATCAGCAAGGACTTCCACAGTTGGGGGTGTAGTGGAGAGGGGCCAAGTCCAGTCATACGGTTTGCCTCATTGGTCCTTAGTTTTTCTAAGGTAAAATGTTGGAAGATTTGGGTTTTTAAGGACTTGGAGCAATTGGGTTTCCCTCCCCTCCCAATTTAGTCCAAACTACAAATTTCTCTCAGCTTTGGCTTTAAATTCATGTGTCTTCAAGTAAATTTTTGCCTTGGAAGACTCATCCATTTGTGAAATTGTGAGCACTGTGCTGCAGAGGAACCTTCCTTCCGAAATTGTCCACTGGTTTCACAGTGTGCTAGACACTGTCCCTGTGTGGTTATTCCCACTCCCACACCAAAGTCAGACATCACTAAATGCCCAGCACACATTTTCCTGACACATGATGCTCCAACCAGACCTAAGAATTGGTTATGGAAACACAACAATCATCTCTGGCAAAGCTCCTGATTTGTTTGGTTTATGTATATCAGTGTTTGGCTTATGGTAGAACAAATAGGTATGAATGAATGAGATGCTTACTGGGTACCACAGACCAGGAAACGCTTTTGCATTAGCCATCTCATTTAGTATTCCTAAAACCCCTATGAGGAAGCTACTAGTAATCTTATTTTTCAGATGTGGAAACTGAGGCACAGAGTGGTAATGTAATCTACCCAAGCTGACGAATTGTGAGTCCTAACTCTGGAGCTTGAAATCTGCCCTGTTGTGTTATCCATTCAATGCAGTGCAACATATGTGTTTGGCTCATTCATTCATCCATTCATGCATACATCAGATATTCAGCAAACCTCTATTATGTACCAGATACCAAAAGTGATATACTAGCCAACAATTTCAGCAGTAGTTTATTTTAAAATAAGGTTGAGCAATCAGTCCCTTTGATGAGCAACTGATTAATAAACCCCCAAAGGCAATAAATAATTTGCTTTTTATGTATCAATAAATCAGACTTGTCTTGGAATAAACTGGTGTTCTCCCCATATCTGGCTAATCAATTGTATCCTATTTTCTCCTCAAGTGGAGAGAGTTATTATAGTCAGTATTGAAACCTCAACAAACTAGGAGCAAAAGTCCATTGCAATTTCCACCCTTTCCTGGAAGTTGCACACCTGTCGGTGGGACCGTTGGAGCAAAAGCTCCCAGCCCCCACCTGCATGTCACTTCTGAGCTCTGGTCACACATCTCAGTGGGAAAGGTGGTGGTTAGACAGGCAGTGCTTCCAGAACAGAAGTGAGTGGTTAGCTTCTTGCCTTGGATGTTTCTAAATTTTACTCTGACTCGTCACACAGCACTTCCAGCTGGACTGTATTAGTCCCCATCCTCTTCCTGGACTTCAACATAATATATAGACTTCAGGAGCCATCTTATGAATTATCTTGCCAAAGTGGTAAAACATTCAAATGTTCTCATAAAATATTGAAGCATGTGGTAATATAACAGGCTTCACTAAAATTAAGTTGTTCAATTTCCCTTTAATAGTGAGAGTGCCTAGAAGAAATGGAAAGTAATACTTGCTTTTGTCTGGAAGCTGGAGGAATCTGACTGGCATTTAAACCCAGGGTCATCCCCTCAGCAGTTGAGGGAGGGGGTAGCTGCATCAGAGCCAGGTCCTTGGCTTGGACCCGCCCTAGAGGGCTGCATGCGGTCTTCCACGTGGACACTCGGGGCTCCCTCCCATGTCAGTGTTTGTGTTGTCAGGGGGCTTTTTAGAAAAGCTCCTGGTCTCCCTCTGGAGTCCACAGCTGGAATGATGGTCCCATGAGGAAGGTATCTGTTGGGCAGAAAAACCCAGGGCTTGCCTTGCTATTGGTTCAGCAGGTTTACATCTGTATGTTTTTGTCTTCTTGTAAGCATGCATGTCACCGCATATATTTCTTCTCCTCCCTACACTCTTGCCTCTTTCTTCCTTTTTTTACAGTTAAGTTCAGTTTCTGAACTTTTCTCAAAAAGGATCAGATGAGAGCCACCCTGGGTTTTACTCGTTCTTGTCCCAAATCCTTAAAGCCATTTCTCCATCGAGTGATAATATGGGGATGGCCCGGTTTGGAGAGGCAGAGCCAGAGCCAGATTCTCCAGAAGGAGCAAAATGACCTCCTCAGCATCTGGGCTCTCTGGCCAGGTGATTCAGTTTGTTTGAGTGCCGTCCCATATACCAAAAGGTCATGGGTTCGATTCCTGGTCAGGGCACATGCCAAGCTTGTGGGTTTGATCCCCAGTTGGGTTGTGTACAAAGGCAACTTAGCAATGTTTCTCACATTTCTGTCTTTCTCTCTCTCTGCACCCCCTCTCTGTAAAACCAATAAAAAATGTCCTTGAGCGAAGATTAAAAAAAATTCAGGGCTGGCAGAGAGCAGCCATTTTCCATTGCATTACTCACGTCACCAGCTGGTGCCGGTGGAATAGTGTCTGTTGCATAGACACTTGTTTGTAACAGCTCAGGACAACTGGGACGCTAGTGCTGTGGTGGTTCCTTTGCCTAATCGGATTGTCGCACTTCATTTAATGGGCATATAATACGGTGATTACCATATTTTAAAAAGTGGTTTGAAAGAGAGAGTTCAAACTAGAGATACTCTTAGAGTTGTGATTTATAGGGATTTTGGTGTTTTACTCCCTCTGGAAAACTGCATCAAGATAAGTTGCTGTAAATAGTTAAACCATTTAGATATATAGAGGACAGGCATTGTACCAGAAGACAGGACATGACTTTCCTTGTAGTTCCCATTCTACGTTTCCTCTACTTCGACCGTATTTGAAAACGGCAGTGAAGTGGAATCTTATTATAAGTAACCCATTATTTATGAGAATAAGTTACAATGCACATTAAAATTGGGTCTCCTGTAAAGCACATAAAGATACTACATTATCCTTATCCCCAGTATTACCATCGTAAAGGGCCTTTGTTTCCCTTTATTTTTATGGCTTAAGTGCAGTGAACTATATGATGTACCCAGTGCCTAATGTATGATTAGCAGATAGTTTCAGGTGCATGACTCCAAGAAGACTGTGGCTGTTTAGAGTACATGGCTGGGAGTGGTGACTGATATATTTAGGAAATTGCTTTGCACCATAATCATGGATTTTCTAGTTCAGGGAGCTACCAACTGTGTATTCGAAAAAATGACTGCCCCCAAATCATGGAATTCAGTGCTGGAGTCAAAACTTGGGGAAATAGGGAGACAAGGTCTCACACTAGCTTAAATGAAAAGTCCATGGAAGGACCAGCTTCAGGTATGGCTAGCTCCAGGTATTTAAAAGTCATGTGGATAGTCTTTTATTGAAATTCTACAGTATTCCTTGGAATTACAACAATGGACATGCCTCTGTGCCCACCTCGGAGAGCTCATGCTCTAATAGCTGAGATGCAGAAGGTAAAAAAGAATTCTAAGGAATGTGATATGTGTAATAATAGAGACACAAAATGAAAACCATAATTCAGAGGAAAAAATGGCAAATGTTTCTTAGGAGAGGTAAACAAGAACTTCATTATGAAGTTAAACCTTAAATATTATTTTGAAGGAGAAGCAGGAATTTTGCAGACAGACAAATTGATGAGAAATGGTTAATTATCTTGGAGATGGCATTTTGGAGATCTGTATTTGAGTCCCAGCTTTGAGGGCCTTAGTTTCCTTATGTGGAACTGCCGAGTTCATGGGATTGTCATGACGGCCTGATGAGTGGTGGGTGCACAGAGCTTACACAGGGCCTGGCTTAACGTGAGTCCTCCCTACCCGACAGCTGTTGCTTCACTAGTGTAGACTGCCCTGTTGGGTCTGACTACTGACATGTGGAACTTTGAATTATGGATTGGTGTCAGCCATGGTAAAACAAGCTGGCATTTATTGAGTGCTTACTGTGTACCACATACTTCATTCAGAACTTCATTTGACTTATCAAATTCTCCCTACAACCCCAGGTAGCAGGAAAATCATTATCCTCATCTCACAGATGAGGAAACAGAAGCTTTGAGAATTTAAGAGGTCTGCCAAAGTAACCAGGTTAGTAAGTGGTGGCTGAGTATCCCCCTCCCCCACTGGCTATCTTATTCCAGTGCTGTGGGTTTAAGCATTATACTCTATGTCCTCTTAGCATGCCAATATTAATCCCCTCCCCTCTGTGGACTTGGCTCTGAGTGCCCCTGTTGACCCCTATTCTGGGTGCGACACCACTTCTTCTGAAGACATGGTTTGGAGTGCTCCAGTGTTTGTGTATGGTCAGGTGCTATGCTGCTACTTCAGACACTAATCTCCTGGACCCTGTGCTTCTTTGCAGGTGAGCCTTCTAGGTGGTCATCCTCCCATTGTGATTGCTGCTGCAAGAATGGCAAGGGTGACAAAGAAGGGGAGAGTGGCACATCTTGCAATGACCTCTCCACCTCCAGCTGTGACAGCCAGTCTGAGGCCAGCTCTCCCCAGGAGACGGTCATCTGTGGGCCTGTGACACGCCAAACCAACATCCAGACTCTGGACCGCCCCATCAAGAAGGGCCCTGTGCAGCTGATCCAACAGTCAGAGATGCGGCGGAAAAGCGATCTGCTCCGGACTCTGACTTCAGGCTCCAGGGAGTCAAACATGAGCAGCAAAAAAAAAGCTGTCAAGGAGAAGCTCTCAATTGAGGAAGAGCTAGAGAAATGTATCCAGGATTTCCTCAAGATCAAAATTCCAGACCGGTTCCCTGAGAGAAAACATCCTTGGCAATCTGAACTGTTAAGGAAGTACCATCTATAGGGCAGGGCTGGGGGGGTGGGAAGAGCTACAAACCGTGTAAGCATTTTGAAGTCAACAACCTAAATGAAATTCGTATTTGCAAAGAAAAACAACAACTGACAATACACATTTGTTAGAACACAATGCCCACTGATATACTACTGCCTATTTACCTGATTCACCTTAACACGTAAATTCACAGGGTAGATTTCTTTCCAGGCGTGGAAGTATAAGAAAACCTTTTTTTTTTGGCTTGTTTGTTTGTTTTGTTAACTTGGTCCCATGTGCTGACCACCTTACATATAACGAGAACCAGCTCCAGGAGAGTAGCTGAGGGGCCTTGGAATCATTTCCCCAAGACTGGTTTTTCTTTCATCTTCTACCTCCCTCCTTTGAATGGGAACATGGCAGAAAGATATCTGGCCTAATGGCATATGTTGGATTGTTTTCATTTCCTTTTCCAGTTCTTAATGGGGGAAGGGGGGATGGCAGATTTCTATGGCTTTTCAGTCCAATCTATGACATAGCAGTTTCTGTGGACTCTGTATGCGTGAGGGTTTGTGCAACACAAGTACAAAGAAGTATGTATACAGGCACACAGCGCACATGACCCCAGAGCCCAGACGGGAGATGGGGTACGCCTACTCCCAGCAGCACTGTCTCAGAGCCCCTCACACAGAGGAGCCTCTGCTCTTTTCTTAAAACCCTTCTGTGTTAAGATTTCCCAGCCTCTCTTGGCAACACTTTCTAGCATCATCCAGAAATAACCCTCAGCATCCAGAAATCATTTTATTTCAAAATTAATACCCTCAGGCTCCATTTTACTAAGTTGCTCTTTCTCTGCAATCAGAGGGAGTGAGAAGAGCTAGTCAAACATCTTTTGTATTAAACAAACATTCATATCCACAAAAACCCCTACTCAATGGCTGCACACTCAGCCTTCCCTACCCAGTGTTTTTCACAGTGTGGCCTTTGTCCATGGTCCACATTAAATTCTATGCACTCCCAGGTAATTGTGGAAGCAAGAACACCACACAGTTCACACTTGAATCAGGGTCCAGTCTTTTGCTTGTTTAAGAGGGAGTTGTAATCTAACTCCTCCTAGTAATCACTCCTAAGCTCACACACCTGCAGTGCAACACTGCTGCTTTCCTGTAAACAGCTGTGTGTGCGCTGGGATTCTGGGACTTGGCTGTGTCCATACGAGGACTGGCTGTCGTTGCTCTCATGTCTAAACAAATCCACTAGATAACTGGAGCTCCAAAGCTGAGGTTTTGACTTTCTAAACTATTTTTTGTGATTGCATCCTTGACCTTTATAGACACAGCCAAAAATAAACTGTTAATAGCCACCCAGCCATGTGACTCTGAGTCTATTAATGCACCAATAGCTTTTCCGCGTAGACTTGTGGTAAATGAAGATTAAGAGACAAGATTTTATTTTTGGCATTCCTCATGCATTTCAGTGGGAACTGAAAAATAATTGGTCAACATTATTTTTGTGCCAAGTACTCCTAATGTTTTAAATGGTGTGTTTGTATGTCTGTGTATGTATCACAGGTAATAAAGGCAACTGGATGATGTCTGTAGGGGGGAAAATAATGACCAATTGCTTCTTTTGGAAATCTCTTATTGTTACCTTTTTATTATGTTAGAGGCTCTGTTCTGGTTCCTATTATTAGTGCCCATTAGCATAGGCCTTTCTTTCTGAATTCTTGCCTTTACGCCTGTGCAACAGACTCAGCCAGTGTTTCCTTGTTGTGGTGATTTGAATAGAGTATAAAGTTTTACATAAGTGCAATAGAAAGGGTATTGGGGAGTTGAGTTGTCAAGAGAATTATGATTAATGAATTTAAGTGTTTTTCCTTTTATACATCCATATATTAGCAGACATTTGCTGTTAATTGCAACATAGCTTTGCAAAGCTTACCAAATATGTCTTCATTATTTTCAATGCTTCTTAACAACACATCAAAATACCATCCTATTCATAATAATGGATCCTGCAAAGAATCAAAGAACTTAATAGGTCAAGAAAAAGTTGAATTTGATGAAAATACCCTCAAATTTACTTTAGTCAAATGACTCTTGTGACTATCCTAGAAGTGTTGTCAGAGTCAGGCTTACACAAAGTGACCAGGGTCCCAGCCTCCTCCAACTTCAGACCCGAATTTAATGGCATCAAGATGAAGACACCCTCGTAGGAAGTGGAGAACTAATGTGACAGTAGTCAGCCCACTGCTTTGACTACGTACTTTAAACAGAAAATTAAATGCTTCAAATAAATTGTCATGGCATTATTTCTGTCCCTTGACCTGTCATGGTTGTTTTGTGCATAGGCACTCTGTACCCCCAGTGAACCCAACTAGGGTAGGAAATCTGTTTAAAACAAAACATCATCATCTGGTGCAGTCACCCACCCTACATAGACCAAACAGCTAAAACGACATGACGTTCATTTGCTTGGCTACTGGTCTAGAGACAGACATAGGTCTGGTCAGAAAGAAAACTCTGAGGAGGTGTCGAGGAAGTGGCCACCTTCAGACTGAATTTAAGTGGAGCTGTTATTAAGTGATGCGTATGCAGCCTGTGACATGGAAAATGAGTTCTGGGCGAGGGAGTTACAGATTAAATTCTCTAGTGGTCCTGGTAGTCACTGTGATTCAGGCCTGTTTTGCTAAACTTAAAATTCTTTTGAGAACTTTTAGTTCAATTCTGGACATAACAATATAGGTGGCTCGCTTCTTGAATATTGGTTATGATAAGGGCCATAAGTTGCTGATATGAAGAAACTAATAGCATCCAGTAGGTCAAGCGAATGAAAAGTCACCCATGTAGAGACCCAGCCCGGGTTGCCTCCTGGGAAACCCTGCTGTCTGAAATTTGGTGAACTTGAGTAGGTCGTCCCCTACATGTGTGTGGTTCTCCTGAAGGCAGACATGTATATGTATAAAGTCCTCCTATGCCCTGTCAAGAAGAGAGTGGCCTGTGTTCATCAGAAAAAGGGGAAGACAGGAGAACAAACTGTGAGATCATGTGGTAGTATGCTCACCCTTCCCCTCCCCTGCTAAGAAAAAGCTGCACTGAGATGTAGGCATAAAACGGCAAAGTGCAGTGGCTTCCAAAGTGCATAGTGATGTTATCCTTTGTTATTGTAGGCACCATTATCTTACTGGAAGTGTATGCATGGAGAATTGAAATAAAAGGGGAACAACGCACAAACCCTAAGTGTTCCCTTCACTCTTTCTTCCTCCTCAGCTATGTTTACCCTGAACCGATTCATTTGGGGGGAGGGTGCATATTTATTAAAGGGGAAGCAACATGGGGTTCTCACTTTTCAGTTGATCTTGTTTGATTCTGAGGCATCTTTCCCCGTGGGCACAGATGTGTGTCTTTCATTCTGGGTCCTCTTAGTTGCCACTGCTTGAGCTTCTGGAATACTTTTGCTCTTCTGGGTTTTCAATTCCTCTCTGATTATCCTTTGTCTATGCCAAGCAAAACATGCTCCAGTGATAAAATCAAAGGCATATATGGTGTTTTGCAAAATTACTTGTTTCCAGCTTCCATGAACGGGAGCCAAACTTTGATTCTCATACATTTTCTTTCACTACAGTTCCACCCCTTCCACTCTGTGGTTTACACACTGAATTAACCCAGAGAACTTTAACACTGCCATTTCTGCCGTGCCCTGGAAGATGTCAAGCTGTGGAATCTGACTAACCTTGGCCTGCTAGGTGATTTTTACTGGAATTAATAAGACTTTGTGAACTCTCAGGTGGAACTCTTTGTCACCTCCACTTGACATAGCAATTTTCAAGGGAAAAATGAACACAGTTATTTTTCCCTCCAGTGACAGTCTGGCAAATAAATGTTTTTTTCCCCAATTTGCATGCTGGGTTATAGGTGTAGCATGGACCATTTCTCTCTCTAATGTCTTGATATTGATGGTATCTTGCAATCTTGATGGCCCAGTGTTTCAATTTATTTATTTTCTTCTATGTTGTCAAAATACCACACTGGAGGAAGAATCAGAGTGAGCATCCTGTGTTCCAAGTTAACATCGAGTTAGGTGTCCTTTGTGTAGGATGGCACAGTGATTAATGTCTGCAGAGAAATTAGACCGAATGAAACCTGCTGGAATGAGTTTGATTTATATTGCTTTCATCATTCTGGTTCTCAATGAAGTGGTTATTGCTCTCCACCTTTGCTGAAAGAATAGAGTCTTAAACTTTGATAATCACAGTGTTGTGATGTGAACACAAAGAGTATTTGTCTTAAACGTCTGTTTTTTGTTTTTTTTTTTCATCTTGCCATACACATCAGAATGGAGGTTCTTTATTCAGTGACTTCCATCACAAACTTTCTGGCAGTGTTTTCAACCCTCAGTCTGCCCAAAAGTCACGTGTGGCACTTGTTAAAAATTCCTCCGCCCTAACCCCTGAAAGTTTTCAGAAACTTCAAGTAGTGCCAAGGAATCTGCACTTGGGTCTACTATTCTTAATAATTTGGATGGGACAGTCTGTGGACCTTACTTTCAGAAACTCTGCTATTTTAGAGACTACGCAGGGGTCAGCTTTTCTCTCACTTCCTAGTGGCACTTCCTTTCCACTACAAATAAGTCAAAGCATGCATTCCCTACTAAGAGAAAAGCCTGAAGAAGCCCATACCAGGGCTAGGGTAGAGTGAGTTTCCGAGATCCTTTTACCCTTTTGTCTGTCATCCATAACCTCTTGTCCATTTTTCTTGTGCTTGTATCTTTTGCTAATTTATTTGTTTTTACCAAACTAGAAGCCTGTATAAATAGTTTTGCCCCTGGGTAGAGGGGAGCACAGCTCTGAGTGAGATGTATCCTAGTAATGCCCAACAGGCAATAAAAATAAGGAACTCACCCAAGGAGAGAAGGAGAGTTCATCTCCAGGCCCTTAGGCAGTTGGAGTCAGGAGCTTGAGAGTGGTCTCTAATTCCATCATGTGGAAGGACCCATAAGTTGGGTCCATTATGAACATATGCACATGTCATCGAAAGTACTATGCAATGATCAGTGAATTTAGCTGTGTTTCACCAATAAAATGCATTGAGTTGCTATGTTTATCCAATTTGACTCACACAGGACTGTGAAGCTCTTAGAGAGTTGAAGACTCTGATCCTCAACATTAATTAAAAACTTCAAGCAAACCCTGGAGGGAGACTAAATATAAAAAAAGAAATAAAGAGTGAATGCAAACTAGTGGTCATATTCCATGTATAATGGCACAGAGTTCTGTAACTTTCTAGTCTCTCTGACTGGGGGAGATGGCCATACCCTGATTGTTTGGACAGAAACCTTTCGGAGGGCTTCAGTGGTCTGGTTGGTTCTGTCCCTGTAACAACTGGAGAGGCACCATTTTTCCTTCCACTGTAAGAAACAGAATGAATGGCTTAAATTCACATTTGTTGGGATTGTCAATGAATATTTAGGTAAGGCTGCTGCCAAAGGAAAGTGGACAATGGCTAGTGAAATGAATGAGCTTGAGCCACTAGTTCAGGTTACTTGGCCATGATTTCTAAAACTGGGATCTGATTCTGCTTGCCTCCCCTCTTCTACTTCCCAAGTGGGATCCCTTCACTGCTCCAGCTTTGTAACCTTTTAAAAAATGTTCCTCTTGTTTGTGAACAAATTATGTTGCTTATTGGTTAAAGAATTTTTGGTTCCTTAATTGTTCTTCTTGATTTACTTTGAAAAGGTGAAGAAAAATGTACCCTGGCCCAGCAACTATCAAGGGGTTGCTTTGGTGACAGGGACAGTAATTTTCCTGCTAATCAGCACTTAAGGCCAACTGGAGGATTTAGTAAGTCTCCTTTATCCTGCAGCCTCTTCCATCTTGTCAGTTTATTCTTAGCATTGACCTTTAAGGTAATTCACCTGCATTTGGACAATAAAAACCAACATATCTCCCAACTGTCTCCCTGCTGAAGTGGACTCCATCCATCACACATGGAAGCAGGATTGATGCACTAGTAGTGGAGAATTCTGGGTTGCTTTGTAATTGCACTACATGTGAGCGTGTGAGCATGTGGATGTGCATGTACACACATGTGCAGTTGTTAGGTCGGTGATGAGTCATTGGCTAAGGCCGGTGGAGACAGTCTTTAGTTACAAAGTTTCACAGCTTTTAATTCAGTACAGTAGTTCCTGCTGAGGGTGTTGGTCCTTGAGAATGTTGAGTAAGGCTGCTCTCTTGATGTGAAATTCAAACAGATTTCTGGGTAAAAGTCAAACTTGTTTTCATTTGTATAGTGAACTAGTGGTGCCTTCCTCAAAAAAAAAAACAAAAAAAAAACAAGAAAGGAACGAGAGAGAGAAAAAGAATGTTTTGAAATCTAAAACAAATTGAGGGTTCACGTGGATCATCCCTGGTCTCTCTCAGCTGCAGCCAGTGGTCAGTGGTTTGTGCCTGTATGTGAGAGACAGGGACAACTGCAGGAGACGCTGTCTCTGATTTGGTGGTTTATGTGCATTTAAGGTAGTGACTGTCACAGGGGGTTGCTTTTGCATCCCATGGGACATTTGGCAATGCCTGGGGACAGTTTTGATTGTTGTGACTTGAGAGGTGTTATAGACATTGAATAAAAAAAGAACAGGGATGCTGTTAAACACCCCACAGTGCACAGTAGAGCCCCCACAATGAATTATTCAGCTCCAAATGTCAATAGGACTGAGGTTGAGAAACCTGAGTTAAGAGTTGGCTCAAATTTTTCAAGGCATTCCTACCATGTAGACAAAGACCTTTAGGTCAAGAGATAGGATGAAGTAGAAGAAGAATTAATCATTGGTTCCACCTTAAAGCTGTACAGGGTTTACCTGATGTTAAATACAACTATCTCCTCATACAGATGTGACCACTGAGGTTTAGAGGGAGAACTGCATCCCTTTTCTCCATACTGTGGCCGTGATGGACAGGCCTGTGGTTTAGGCCTCTGCCTTCTGCTTCAGTCTCTCTCTGCTTCTGAAAAATGATACTTCAGTGAAGACAAAAACCTTTTAACAGCTAGATGTGTTTATTACAAAGCAGAATGGGAGTGCTTTCAGTTCACCTGACACTATCAGAGATGTTTTTAAACTGATTAATAGCAAACAAGAAGGTGCTCTCAGAAATGAAATAGATAAAAGGGAGAAACTATAGTTAGAAGATACCAATGATTTCATTGGCTTTAACTGCTCATTGTGGACTTTGTTTAAGCTTATCCCTCACTAACGATAACCCTTAGATCTTGGAAAACGTGATCCTCAGACTCACACAGGTGGCCCCATGCCCTTGTCTTCAAAGATATGAAAATTCCAAGCACAGATTCTGGTTGCTTAGCCTTATGTCATGTATATGCACTGATTTTATTAAGACACAAAACATATTTGTGTCTTAAATAATTTGACTTTTTCTTTTAATTGATCATACCAAACTCCCTGTGATAGAATAAAGGCTCAATCATTCTATCCCCATTGAATACAGGGGAAACCGAGGACCTAGGGGGTTGGTTAGCATAAATTTATTTATCTGTTCATTCATTGATTCAGCAGGTATTTGCTGCATGCATTTGATCCTGCAGGTGCCCGCTGTGAGATTCTGCTAGAAAATCAAACTTGGGATATCGAACTTGAATTCAGATTGCCTAAATCCTAGACTGACATTATTTCTTTATATAGTTCTGATCAACATTCTAGACTTATAGTTTAAATATGGTTATAAATAATGTATATTAAGGAGTTACTATTATGTACTGGAAACTCCACTAAGTGCTTCATACACCTCAGCATATTTAATGCTATCGTAACCCAATGAAATAGGCCCTGTTCTCATCTGTGTTTGCAGATAAGTTCAGGGAGGCTCAGATAGGTAAAGTGGCACATAATTCCACAGTGGCAGACTCAGTTTATTTTTTGGGTTAAGCCACTCAAAGGCTGATGGCTTAACCACATCGCATCACAACCTTTTCCCTTCACATTTCTCATTTCTTCTACTCCATGCAAAAGATAGTGAGGAAGAATCCAGACCAATGCCCTCCTGAAAATTGTTGGCTATTTTCCATGGCAAACCCCAATAGATAGGCATCTCCCCAGGAAATAAAGGAAAGGCAGACTTGGAGGGTTACTTTTGCCTAGCACAAACTGTACTTTATGACACAAGCCTGATGGAGGGGCAGCAATATTGTAGACCAAGCAGCTGGTGAGTACTGATACCCCGTGAAACCCAAAGTGGCCAGATAGCTTCCACGCCAGGAGGACTGCACCTGCCACCACTCACTGTGCTGTTTCCACATTATCAGGGCAAATTTCATGAGAAGTAGAATAGGCAGATGTGCCTGTGTGTGTGTGTACAAGAATGTATCTGCCATTGTCATCTTTTGGCTTTTTAAGCAATCATGGGCTTTGTTCAAGACAGGTCAGGAATCCAAGTGTGACTAGCTGCTCCCAGCATCTCATGACTACTGTGCTAAGTTGGGAAAATGAGAGACAGCTACAGAAAAGAGATGGCACTGAGATATGTGAGTGTGTGCAAGAGGCGTGTGTGTGCATGTGTGTTGCCTATGTGTGTTCATGTAGAAAATTTTGTGTATATGTGTATATATATTTGTACATCCAAATGTATATATCTATATCTATACTTATGTATACATACATAAATGAATCTCATAGTTTGTAACTCTGGAATTTTGAGTTTGACAGATGATGATTTATATTTGGTTTTCTAGATAGTTTAATACAGTTATATTTTCCAAAAGTCTCTTTAGGAGTGTATACATTTATTTATAGTACAGAAACTATAATTAAAATGCTTTGGTTTAACATCTATTGATACAAAACCAAACAAAAGTGCATTTGAGGAAAAGCCAAGCTTGTAAAAACTGGCTTTCTTATTTGAATCATTTGTTGGAATTTCAAACTGTGTATTCAAACATACTCATTCAAAAGAAGAACCATCCTCACTGAATGAACATGATGATGTTTAGGGAGAGAATAAGGACACACAGGTCTGTGACAGCACAACTCCATCCTGCTCATGGCACTTCACCAACACATTGGTTTCTTTATTCTCTCCCCACTGGTTTTTACTTCATCATTCCTGGGGGTCCCTGTAGCCCTACACACATTGTAGTTGGAACTAATGATCTGTTTAATTATTTTAAACCTATAGTAAATAATTTATAACATGTATATTGTAAATATATATGAAAGCTCAAGGGCACATTGTAATAATAACCACTTTCTGAACTCCTGCAAATAACCCTTTAAGCCTGTTTTAAACTGATACCACAATAGTTGCTCAAAGAAGGAACAAAATAGTGAAATGAAAGAAAATATTAATGATCTGTTTTGGCATCCTATGGACATAATGACCAAATGACTAAAATTTGGGTACTCTTAAGGAGACAGTAACATGTTTTCATTCATAGTAATGTGCTTTGCATATTTCAAAGAATGTGAAAGTGTTTTTGGTCAACCTATGCAAACCAGAGTGTCAGCACACAAGCCCAGGTCATCAGACCCTCAGCCTGGCTCTCCACCCAGGGTCCGGCTGAGAGTCTAAGTACAGAGTCCCCTCCTCCCAGGGACCTGTCAGGTTGGCTCACACAATCAGAAACCTTTACAATCTAATCCAATATGATCAGTCATTTTTTTCCCCATAAGCTCCCTGTAAATGTGATCTTAAAAACACATGAAAGAAAATTAGTTTCTTAGCAATCAAATGTCCTAATTAGGTTTAAGAACACATGAAAAAGAACTGGCTGTTTTTCTGAAAATTTGGAGAACAGAGGAAGGTTTTACATTATCTCTGGCTTCAGGTTTCTCTAACATTTTCTTTCATTTATTTATTTTTAATTCCAAAGGAGAATGTTAAATCAGGAGAATTTTCCTTAAAATATTATGCTTAGTTTGCAAACAGACAGACTCACATATTTTTGTAACTCATGGAGGGGGACATTGAGAGGTGGCGGTGCCCATCCTTCATTACCCTGTTTCTGATCTAAGGAAATGGTTCTGTGAACGAGCAGTGTGGCATCGTGCCTAATGCACACAAACGCAGCGGGAGCTGCATTGCTGAGCGTCCTGCTGGAGGCTGTTCATAGGATCTGCTGTGAATGAGTCACCACTCAGATTAATGATGGCACTCAGCTTGTTTCTCTTATGGGCACTTAGTTCATGAAATCAAAATTCTTCGTGTTGCCTGAAGGAATTGAACTAATAATCTTAGTTGAATTCCTGTTCTCATCATTCAGAACCAGCCGAGCACTGGGTCAAACCTAACAAACACAATAATTGGTCCAAATTAAATAGACATGTCTAAATATTATCAGCACCATTCTGGACACTCGCAAAGACCCTGTTGCTTAGGTTGAGTGGAGATCTCCAATACAATCTGCCAGGGAGTATCAGATTCCTACATCTATTCCTGACTCTGTGAAGGTGACGTCACCACAGCAAGAAGAGCCTGTGTTTTGCTGGGGCCAATACTGAGTGGCGTTCTACTGGGGCTTTGCTCATGTTCCTTTTCCCTGACCTCATTCAAGTGCTTGATGACCTGGGTCAGTTAGCTGCACATTGATGTATCCCAAGTGACACCCACTGAATTACCTCTTTTCCTTTACAATGCAGTTTGCTTGTACATAACTGTAATGTCAACTGTTTACAGGTTCTCTTTGTGTGTAATTGTGATAGCAGATTTAGCTAAAACTTTAAAGGAATCTGTTTACCGAATGGTGTTCAAATGAATGTTCTTATTGCAATATAAACATTGTTAATTCTGGACTCACACAAATGCATGTCTACATGTCACCAACTCCCAGCAGCTCGGTTATTCAGCAGTCTGTGAATAGCAAATATACATAAACTACTGTGACTCTGATAACTCAGTGACTGTTATTACCTTAGTATGTAACACTAGATTTTAGCCTGCTGTATTTCTTTCTTACCTATTTGTTTTTGCTAGAGAAACACGGTAAAAGATAGTACTACTAATTGTCCCAGTGGAATTGCACACCGTTTTGGTGACCATTGGTCCACCCAAAGGCAGCTGCCTATTGCTGGAACAATGGCCCTGAGCAACAGATAAATACATACATACATACATAGTATGTTTGCAACATCTACAATGCTAATTACTACCATCTATTCTCACTGCCAGTGGAACAAATTGCTATTTTCTCTGGAATCACTGATGGATATAAAAACCTTAATTTGCTATTAACTGCTTTCCTCTTCTGTTCAGTTGTTATAATATGGTAAATGATACAGGTGCAGTATCAGTATTGTAAAATGTGGTAAAAACTACAAAAGTTATTCTGTGGATATATTTTAAAAGGCAGACAAGAAGATATATTTCAGATTCCTTGTGTGAATATAATTACAGACATAGGTAACTATTTTTATGTGTTTCCATAAATGACTCCATTTCATATACATTGTAATTTAGCACTGATCATAATAAATCATTTGGTAACATTTAGTTGTTATATATCTATATCTATTTTCAATATACATAAGAGACTGATGATTCAACATTATTTCATGCTAACTCAAGAATTTTAGATGAAAGGTAATTACCATGGCAATTAGTTTATTTATGGTTTGCCGTGGCAGCTTGCTGGATGGGGGTATAAAAAAGGAGACTTAATAAGTTGGTTATTTAGAATTCAGGAATAAGACTGCAAGGAGGTGAGGTGTTGCCTCTATCTCTTCTCAGTGGGGTGGCTTTACACTGTCAAGCCTCATTAAACCTCAGTTTCCTCATCTGTAAATAGGAAATAAAAATAATAGATAACCTCATAAGGTTTCTGTGAGAATTATATAATTCAAGTAGAGCATTTAGTACAGCATCTGTTACATTAAATAAATGTGTGATAATCCCTATTAATCCCTTTTACTATTATCCAAAATGTACATTTAGAAAAGGAGTTCAGCTTCAACACTCAGAACATCTGTCTATTGTCTATATTTGTATCTCTATTTATATATCTATATAATCTATATCTATATTTCTCTATATAGTTTTTATCTTTAGCCTTTTAGGGCATTGCCTACAGAGCCAAGCGTTTATATATTTTGTAATCAAAAGGGAAAATTATAAGGAGAAAAAAGAGAAAACAGCTTGGAGGAGCTTCAGAAGTAATTTAGCCTTTCAGTGCCATGAGGTATAATTGACAGAACACTTGTCTAAAGTATGCACTGAAAACAGGAAGGGAATCAGATGATGTAAAACCTGGGAAATAGAACCTTTTGCACCCTCCATTTTATAATTTTGAAATGTGCCTTTTATTTAAAGCCCTAGGAGTTAGTCAGTGAAGGTGATTTCAATCCAGAAATCACCTTTATTTAACCCAGAATCTCCCAGACTTCCCTCAGCAAAGATCCTCCTGGTTTTGAGGTATACACATTGAGAAATTTATCCCAATCTCCTCTTTGTACAAGCTAAGGCCCAGAGAAGGGAAGGGAAGTGTTGAAGGTGTGGAGGTCCTGGGTCCAGAAGCCCCTCTCTCCACTCAGGCTACAGCACTTCCTCCCAAGCCTCTCTCCTGTCAATGACTGACAATGACAAGGAAAAGCCCTTGTCATTGGAAAGCCCTTCTAAATTCACAACATCTGTCTTGCACAGACCCAAGGTGAGAGTCCCATGTGGTATCAAAAGCCAGGCAGGTGCAAGGTGAGGACCCAGCGTAAGCATTTCTTCCTTAGACTCAGTCACCCCTGAGATTGATCAGGGTCAGGGCCTGCTTGGGCTGCCCTAAGCTATTATTAGAGATGGTTGCCATGGTGACACAGATGCTGGACTATGCTGTCCCTCAGCCACCAGAAAAATCTGAGCTTAGATAAACCAAAGTGGGAGAGGGGTTTGGAGGAGAATTTTATTATGAATTCTCCTGTGGGAAGCTGTGGATTTTCCTCCCAAAAACATAAACAGAAAACCCAAGCACTGAGAAATTGCTCAAGTAGAGCCAAAACATCATTAAATGCAGGTTGTCAGGAAAGGCTCTGTCCCCACTGTTCGAGACCAATACAGGCCATGAAGGGTACACACCAAGGGGAAGGTTGGCTACAATCTTACAGGCCACAGCTTTGAAGGGTGAGCAACAATGAGGAATTGATTTGTCCCCATTGTTCTGCAGCTAAGTGCTCTACAAATCAAAGGTCCCGGGAATACTCCTGGAACCTCTGCCATGTAGGTTGTAAGGACCCAAGGCTGTTCTGTCTACTGACCTGGAAGCCTGGATGGAAAGGATGGTGTGTGGGAAGCCTACCCAGGAATATGCTGTTGGAGAACCAGGAGAAAGGTTCCTCCTCAAGCTCTTTGGATAGACTTGGGTGGCATATGTCTTTATCCATCTCAGCTCTGTAGTTCCAAAGACTTACAAACAGCCGTCACCCTAAAACTCACTTATCTGATGAATTGAGTTGAACAGGACTTGTTCAGAAGGATTATAGCTTTTGGAAGGAAGGCAGTGAAACAGGGATAAACACCACCTTCTTGGATAATGCTTTCCCCTCTGATTGTAAGCCAAAGGCAGCCTTCCCTTCCATGCCTATAAAACACCCAGAGCCCTGTCAGTCTTGGCCCCCATGGCTGCAGCCACAGGACATGTCACTATTGGTGTTTACCCTGGTAGGGGTGGGTAACAACTCCTAGCCAGGCAGACACCCTTGGCTTCAAATAGACCAAACTTG